CCTTGCGTTGACCTCCCGCAACTGCCGCTGGTTCTTGCCTCGGGGGACCACACGCAGCTTCCCATCAAGTGTCCAGCAGTTACATTCGGTTGAGCTTCGACCTTATTCCACCTTCCTCTCAGCCTTTCTCTCTCGCCTCCTTCGCTTCCTCTCTTCCCCCCATTACTTCCTTCTGTTGCCTCCTCTCTTCCTCCCTTCGACCCCTTACTCGTCCTTCCTTCCTTTATTCATTCATTCCTTTATTTCTTCCTTCCTTCCTCCTTCCCTCCCCCCTGCGCCTTCCTTCATTCCTCCCTCTCCCATTGTCGATCTTCCTTCCTCTCTCCCCTAATGCCTCGCTTTCTGTCTACTTTCCCATTCCCCTCCCTTCTTCCCTCTCACTTTTGCCTCCCCTTCCTTCATCCTCTCTTGCCTCCTTCCAGCCCCTTTCATCCCCTTTGGCCATAGAAAGGTCAGGTATGTGCGTGCGTGTGTGTGTACGTGTATGTCTGTCTGTGTGGTACGTGCATTACAAGTTTTTTTTTAAGGGTTTTTGTTTATTCATAATTTGCTCTTCTATGCATGCTTGTTTGCGTTTGCTTATTTTGCAAATATGGGCACAAGAATGTGTTCTGTTTATATATGTTGCTAATATGTGCATACAAGTGTGTTCGCGTTTCTATATTCATGTTTCGCAGTCGTGGTCTTGCTTTGCAGGTGGAGTCCATGTAACTGTTTTACTTATTCAGCAAAATGCTTCCCCCTCCCGCGTCTTTCGCCTTCGCGTCGCACTCCGCCCTCGTGCTCAGCTTCCCTCTTGCAGCGCCCAGCCACAGACGCCCCTCTTCCGGGCGCCACTTTGGCTTCGGATTGCCAGTTGATTCACGCCGTGATCGGAGATTGGCCCGGGTGCATATCGCCGGGCTGGACACCCTCGGACGCTGCTGTCCTCCCCTCCTCTTGCCCGCTCTCCCTGCTTCGCTCTTCGTCCCTCTCTCTCTTCTCTCTCCTTCTGTCGCCCTTGCCCTCGCTCCTCTCTTTTTCTCTCCCTCTCTCTATCTCTCTTCCTTTTTTCCTTTAATCCCATATATCATCACCGACCTCCCCTACCTCCCCTTCCTCCTCCTCGTCTGCCGCCCCTCCCTCCCCTCCCGTGGCCTCACTCTGCCGCCGTTCCCCATGCCCTTTCCCTGCAGTTGACTGCGTGTACGTGTCCTTTGGACCCACAGGGTTAAGACAGTAAGCATTAGCAAGGCACCATAAACCTCCCGGCGCTCTATGATGCCTGTGCAAAGGGTGAAGCGCGTTTGAAAATGACCAGAAGAGCGTAGTAAAAATCGCCTGTTAACATTCAGTCCTCGTGCGCTGCCATCGATCGTCGGCTGAGTGCGCGCGTGAGCTCGTGCGCGCGCGCGCGCGCGGTGTGTGTGTATGTTTGTGTGTATGTTTTGTATTTGTGTGTGTTTATGAATACACCTATTTTACAATTAATTTGTTTGTTAGATGGTATTTATTTTGTGCACTGATTAATTGTTTGTGGATGTTTGAATATTTACATTGACACTCACAAGCTCGGACACACACACACGCACACGCACGCACACATACACACACACAGAAAGAGAAAGAGAAAGAGAGAGAGAGAGAGAGACTGAGATCGAGTTGAAGGAGAAAGAGGGTTTGCGTGTGTGTGCAGAGCGTGCGCGTGAGCGTACATGCGCGTCTCCGACATGTCTGCAAATGTAGAACGGGGGGAACAAAGACCGCACAAACAGCTTGTGTCTTATTCGCCCCTCTGAATTCGCTTCCGGCCGAGGCAAGTGGATAGGGTGGAAGGGCGGGCGGTGGGCGGATGGCAGGGGAGGGCAAGAAGAGAAGGGAGGTTGTTTGTAGCCATGGAGGGAAAAAGCTTCTGACTGGAGAGCGTACGTTTAGGGATTGGAGTGTGGAGAAACGCACAGTGTGTTCCAGAAGTATAAGGCCATGCTTTGTGCGACTGCTGCTGCTGCTGCTGCTGCTGCTGTTGCCACCTGCGCGATGATCCTCCCATCGGCAAGTGTCGCTCAGCTTTTAGCGTGCATGTAGATCGCACATGCCTGTAATGCCGTCGGACATGTGTGTTTTGGCGCCGTGGGCTTGGGGCTAGAGCACTCGCATCATAGCCCCCTTCATAGCGCACTCCGGGTCTTTATGCTGCCATTGGCTCGGAATTTTTCATGCGCTCTTGATAATGGCTTCGCAAGGCCCCTGAAACGTTAGAGATGACGTGTGTTTATGACCGTGTGTATGCGTGTGTGTGTATTTGTGTTAAGTAGATGATAAGTTTAGGCAAGGTGGAGGCGGTGACAGGAGCGGCTGCACGGAGCAGGTGGCACTGGACTCCAGCCCTCACGCCCCTTGCCAGGCGCCTATTTAACGGCACTTTTTCACGGCCTTCGAAAAGGGATTTCGTCGCAGATTTTTTTAATTGTTGAAGGTGTGGTGATTTTGGAGGCGTGGGATGTCAGGGCGCAAGGCCTGGTGGTCAAAGTCGGGCACAAAAAATGGGCGCAGGATGACGTACATGGCATCTTGAGAGGGTCCGTGGCGCACATGGCGGCAGTGGCTCCAGTGGCGCCTCCGCCGCGGCACTGACACCGTGCCTCTGCCGCCTCTGCTTGTGCCGCTTCCGTCGCCGCCCGCTCCAGCGTCCCAGCGCAGCCCCAGACCCGAGCGAGTCCCTGGCCGGAGCCTTGTCGTCGCAGGGCGCGTGGCGTGGCATCGTCGTGTCTCCCGCCGGGCTCCCTGGTCGAGCTGCGAGCGCCACGAGCAGCGTCGCATTGCGGCACCCAGTCATCGGAGTGGCACGTGACGCTTCACCTGGCTGCCCGGGGCGTGGGTCATCCGGAGGGCCAGGAATCGCTGGCAGGAGCAGGCGGGGCAACAAGTCGGCGTGATCAGGTGGTGGGTGGTGACGTGTAGCGGGCCCGGGTGTGCCGGGTGCCGTGCCCCCTCCAGTACGTGAGCCTTGGCCCTCACCCACACCTGCCTTGTGGGCCCCACCCCGGCGCACCTGGGGCCCAGTCTACCCCTCGCATCTCTAGCAGCTCGAGCTCGAGCTCTTAGCACGTAGCATCATCCTTCTGCCGGAACTTGGCGAGCGACGCCGCCGTGTGTGGTTTTCAGTGACGGCATTTGCGTACCCGGAACTCTTGAGTATTTATCAAGCAATTTGGAGCAGGTGTGCGAGGTGGCAGGTGCTGTGCCGCGACGGCCCGTGAACAGCCAGCCCCACGCACCTCCATCCGCTACCTGCACCGCCACGACTCCGGCCTCCTTCCCCTCGAGGCGCGGGGCAGCCCCACTCACCTGTGATGCTCTTTTCTTACTTTTTGTATGACCTTAGATTAATGCAAGAGACAATCTTTTAATATCTACCTACTTGTATGGCTGTGAACCTTCGCTAGAGACCTCCTCCCGCCCCGGACCATGTGCGTCGCCGTCGGGCTCTGCGGCTAGGACTCGGTGTGATGCAAGTGGCGCTCGGCCGCCTGTCTTCTCGTAGCGAGGCTGTGCGGCGCCCAGGTGACCTCTGATCCGCGCGGGTCGTGCATGTTCGTGAGGCTGTGTTGGACGAGACACCCTAGTCGAGGCATGTGAAGGCGCCCACGCCAGCCGGGCACCCCGCCCACGCCCACCATGCGCAAGTTATCCCTGCGCTGCTCACCAACCCCACATTCGGTGCCGGGCGTGCCGCCGCCCGCGCCAACCCCGCCACCGTCAGCAGGCCTGTCACCCACGCCCACGCCGCCGACCACGCCCGCACGGCGGCTGGTCTCCTCACGCTCTCTGGGCTCCACCTCGTCGCCCCCGCTGACGCCTCCGGTCGTCTCACAGTACAACATCCCGCCGTGCCTGCCCTCGCACCAGCACCACGCCCAGCTGCCGCCCACCCCAGGCCCTCCCTCGCACCGCTCACTCCCCGCCCTTCACGCCCACCACGTGCAGAATGATGCTCAGGCCCATCACTCATCCCACCCGACGTTGCACGCCCACCACCACTCCCCTCCCCAGCCCCACCCGCACCACTCCTCGCACCCCGCCCTCCACGCGCAGTCCCCTCACTCTTCCCCGCCGGCCAACCGCCCGCCGGGTCATTTCTCGCACGCCGCGGCCCTCAGCGGGCACCAGCACCCGCGGCAGCTGCCCGGCCTGCCCCGCCACCACACACCATCGGCGGCGTGGGGCAGCGGCCGCATCCTGCCCCCCGCCCGCACCATGACCCCAACGCCGCCGCCTCCGCCGCCGCCGTCGTCGTGGTCACCACCAGCAGCGTGCCCCCCGCGCCCGCCCAGCCCATCACCACCACGATGGCCAGCCTGGCCGCGCGCCCCGCTCACGCTCTGCACTCCGCCAGCTACAAGTACAGCCTGGACGTGCCTCGTGCCAACCTGCGAGACATGCGGAGCAACACATACCCTCCGCCGGGCGCCGACGGCTCCTCGCCCTCGCAGTCGTCCTCCACCACGAGCGGGACCACGAGCGGCGGCGGCTCGGGCGGCTCGCAGAACTCGCCCTCGGACCTGTTCCCGCCCTCGTCCCCGCGCCTTTCGCCGGGGGGACCCATGGTGGCGCTGGCCGGGCGCGTGTCCCCTCAGCTGCCGCCCACGTCCCCCTGTGGACGGGTGCCCCCGCACTCCCCGGGGCCAAGATCCTCGCTCTCCTCCTCGGTGTCCTCCTCGTGTGCCACGTCGCCCGTGCCCCGCCTGTCCCCAGTGCCACGCTCACCTGTCCACGCCCCCGTCACTCTCTCGCACTCCGCCCACTCGTCCCCGAGCCCAGCTCATGCTTCGCCCAGTCACGCCCATGCTTCACCGGTGGCACGTGGCTCGCCCGTGCCACCGCCCATCATCAGCTCCCCGACGCCCACGATTCGAGGCTCACCTGCGCGGAGGAAAGGCTCCATGCCGGAGTTGCGCTCGCCCTTGTTCAGGAAGACGACTCGGCCGCCCCTGCAGCGCTCGCACGCCACCGCTGGGTAAGCTCTTCCCCCTCGGCCTCGGCTGGCTCGCTCTTCGCCTCGTCGCCTCGTGCTTCCCTTTCCAGTCAACTTCAGCCAGGTCTTACACCCTTGGATGCTCTTCCCACGCACCCTGTTATTGACTCCTTCCCCATATGCCTCCCTTGCACTCCTTGTTCTATCTCCCTGATTAGCAGGACTTATGGCGCCATGCCTTTCCGCCAGTACGTAGTGTCCCATTATATGCTTAATACATGTAAATTACTGTAGTTTATGGAATGAAGAACAAACTGTTATCATTCCAGATAATCAGTAGTGTAATATTTATCTGATTATTCCCGTCATTCTAGCTGTCCAATTTCCTTCATTGCCTGATTAGGATTATGAGTCGTTTTTCTTCTCAAGCCGAGTATTGCTAGCGCCTTTGCGCTGGACTTACTCAAGGGTTCACCGTAATTGCCATCATTATGGGCGAAATGCTCGTCCAAGTAGTAGGTACGGCCATACGCCGATTCCGTGAACTATGCATGTTTAAATCCCGAAAACTCCCCGGAGGGTGCATTTAGCAACTCCTCGCCGCCGTGGGTGCAGCCAACTTGTCGCCGCGGCCTTTTTCTAGAGGAAAAGCTCGGAGAGAGGGAAGGCTGCAGTTTAGTCAAGGCGGAAACTTCGAGTTCTGGATCAGCGTTATGGAGTATTTTCATCTTTGCGGAACGCGAAGGGGAGACTAAACGAACACGCGGCGTAGTTTAGGAATGCGCAAATAAAACCCCCACCCCCACCCCCCGTCCGCGCACGTGGAATGTCGAGTGGACGACCCCTCCTTCGGCGCCGGCAGGGACGCCCGGTGCCAGGGAAAGGGAAGTTTAGAAAGGGGATCGTATGGCTGCGGAACATGCACTCCTTGAATGCATCTTCGGAGGCTTTCTTGATTGGGCCTCGTCTTGGCGGAGGGCCCAGTGATGCTTTTGTTGCATGCAACCATAAAAAGGGGCTCGCGAGGAGCCGGAGGCGAAGGGAATCCCAGAATTGCTGGCCGCTGCTGGTGTCTTTCCGGCAATTACTTCGGATCTTTATGACCTTTGTTTGGCGTTATCATCACTATCGTCGAATCGTTAAATGGCAGTCGTCACAGAGGGAATCGATTGGCATGGTCCCTTGGCTGGGCCTTTTTCTTTCTCTTCCCCATTTGCAGTTTTATAACTTGCAGTTGCAGATTGGGGATGCGTGTGGGGAGTTGCAGCTTAGTAAGGTCTCGCGCATCCGTCCGTGTCAAGGAACAAACAGAAATGGATACATGTACGTGAACTAATCAGATATCATGGAACATGTCTCAGATTATCGTTCCTGCTTTTCGTTGTGATTGGTGTCGATGTTGCTATTTTTTTTCGTAGCCATTGTCGTTTTCCCTAAAAACATCACCTGCACATCAGTATTTTTATTGTTATTGTTATATCTTTTATCTCCATTGCTGTAATTTCTGTTATTGCCTTGTCCCTCGTTTACTGGATTGAAGAAACCTCCTCCTTTTCCCTTCATAACAATAAACCGCAAAAGTAAAACTGCATTTGTTAAATACGAAATACGTAAACAAAAGACAGACAGGTCGTTTTAGCGAAAAGGGGAGACGATCCCCCGTTTCAGCTCATAAATAAGATGATATTGTCCGATATTATGATGCTGGTGCAATTACCGATTTGATTAATGAACACCTATATCATTCCCTTGCAGTTAAGGGTGGTGGTCTTAAAAAAATATCTATTTGTACGTGTATGGATGCGAGTCGATGTATGTTTTGTGTGTTTGGGGTTGACGGACCATTATTATTATTGGCAGTATTTTCGTTTCATGGTTGTTGCCGTCATCATTGCCATCAGCATTTCCGATAGAAGTAGAGGAAAGCTATTAGGCAATGTCATTATCAGCAGAGCTATTAAGCCATATCAATATCAGGTTCTGATATTGATCATGGCATTTATTGTTGTTATTGATGTTTTTTTTTCTTTTATAATTCCTGTGCTATAGCTGTTGTTATTGTACAATTATACTCTTCTGTTGGTTTGTTTTTTATCTATTATTATTTTCTTTATCTATTATCTTGAACAAGCATCCCCTCTCTCACTCACTCACTCTCTCTCTCTCTCTCTCTCTCTCTCTCTCTCTCTCTCTCTCTCTCTCTCTCTCTCTCTCTCTCTCTCTCTCTCTCTCTCTCTTCTCTCTCTCTCCCTCTCCTCTCCCTCTCCCTCTCCTCCTTCCCTCCTTCCCTCCTTCCTCCTTCCTCCTTCCCTCCCTCCCTCCTCCCTCCTCCCTCCCTCCTCCGTCCTTCCTCCTCCGTCCTCCTCCTCTCCCCTCCCCTGTCTCACTCACTCGCAACTCCCCATTCGATCTCTGCCTTCCTTCCTACTTCCCTTTTTCCCATCTTCATTCTTCCCCACCACACCTCTCCACTTTCTCTTCCCCCATTCGTCCCTCTCTCATTTTATTGCATTTCATTCGGGGTGAACCACAATGAACTTGCTTGATTTGCGCTTTGTAGCTCGCTAATGAGAGCTTATTATCGTTGTTATTTTTGTTGTCTTGTTTCTTTACCATGTAGTGTTTCACCTGTGACATGAGTGCCGCTGTCTTCTTCATAGTCTACGTTGTCGAGGCCGGAACAAGGGTGACCGCGCGTGAGCATTTGGGTATCGCGTGATTCATGGCAGGAAGGAGACCCTGTGGCCAGCGAGGACGCTTTGGAAGGAGGTCACGCTTCTCCTCTCTTCCCTCACTTCCTTCTCTTCCCTCCCCTCATCTTTCTTCCTTTTCCATTCTCTCTTCCCTCTATCTCCTTCCTTCTTCCCTTTCGCCTTCTCTCGTCCCTCTATCTCCTTCCTTCTTCCCTTTCCCCTTCCTTCGCCCCTTATCTTCTTCCTTCTTCCCTCTGGTCTCTTCTCCTTCGCGTCCCAACCGAGGCGACCTTGGCTACGACGCCGAGACTAAGCTAGTGATACAGGTGCTTGTTTCTAGCAACAGGTTAGAAAGGTCATTTGGGCGACCTGCCAACATCTAGGAGCTTGGAGAAGGTAGGAGAGAGGGATACTATTGGAGGGGGGGGGAGCTGAGGAGGAGGAGGAGGAGGAAATGGAGATGAAAGTGGGAGGGGGTTTAAGGGAGAACAAAGCGTAGGATTACTTTCTGTTTGGTATGGCATGAAGAATGCACGTAATGCCGGGAAGACGTTCTGCAAGGGATTTAGAAAGAAGGGGAAGGGGGGCTTCGAACTATAACCTTCAGAGGCGGTGGCGGCCATAACCTTGTTGGAAGATAATCCCCCAAATCCGGACCTGCCAGACGTGCTCCACGAACTAAACAGAAGGCATATTTTTGGAGGTGGAGGGAAAGAGCGAGAAGGATTGGGGTTGGGGTATTTTTTGGGGGGGATGAGAGGGAAAGGGGGGAGATAATGGGAAGGAAACATGAGAGGGATAGGGTAGAGGAGTAGGGATGAAGCCAGGCGGGATGGAGAGAGGGAAGGACAGTCTGGCATGCTGATGCACAAGTCTGAATGGAGGGTTGTTTTTGTATAGACTCTGCAAATATGCAAATGCTATTCATGTTTTAGGCATTATATTTGTTTTAATTTTCGGTGAGTAAATTATCTTTTTGAAATTGAGAGTGTATCGTTACTGCTATATGTTTCTACTGCCCAAAAGTTATTATTTGTTACTTGTTATAGTACCAGTAGTTGTCGTCCTTCGTCTCTACCATGTTTGTCATTTTCGTGAGTCAGTTACGACCATCTGTTCCGCCCAATATCACCCCAACTCCCCCGTGATTCCAATCCGGTACCCACCGCACACACGTCCATTTGCGGAAGTACCCGGAGCGTTCGCGTCGTCGGGCGTGGATTTCCCTCGCTACAGGGAAGTAAACCGGACGGGGATTGTGGGAGGCCCTTGGAAAACTTCTGCTATCAGTCGCATGGGTCGAGCGATACTTCACTGAACTTCCCATACCTCCCCTCTCCCTCCCCTTCCCCCCATGAACTTCCATACCAACTTCCATACCTCCCCTCCCCTCCCCAGAATTTTCCATACCTCCCCCCCCCATACCTCCCCCTCCTCCCCTCCTCTCTCCCTTCACTCAACCCTCACTTCAAGAGTAACAAAAGCAGATAGACATTTACGATTACAGGCACACCGAAGGGGATGAAGTGAGGCGCCCAAGTGAGACTGCCACTTCTCATTTCTTCATCCCTTTGGGGCATTGAGGCCATAGATTATCTCGAGTGGCTCCAATTTCATCAAGTCGGAGGGTGGGAGCTGGGATCAGCCCCCCCCCCCAGGTCACATTTCCGGGAATGAAAAAGAACTGTAGAAGGCTGGAAAATTTTCCCTCCCTCTCCCTCTCCTCCCTTTTTTTCTCTCTTCTCCCTTCCCTCTCCCTCTCCCTCTCCCTCCTCTCTTCTCCCCCCTCTTCTCCCTCTCTTCCTCCTCTCCCTCTCCTCTCCCTCTCCCTTTCCTTCTCCTCTCCTCTTCCTAGCATCGTAGCCTCGTTGCTGAAGGTTCGGCGAGGCCTTCGTTTTCTGCTTTGGGAATAGAGAGAGAGAGAGAGAGAGAGAGAGAGAGAGAGAGAGAGAGAGAAGAGAGAGAGAGAGAGGGAGAGAGAGAGAGAGAGGGAGGGAGGGAGGGAGGGAGGGAGGAGGGAGGCCGCCAGTTCACGCGCGAACCCGCTAGCCATCACAGGGTTGACAGGGCCGCGTCGGAGATTGGTCCGGGTGGCCGTCATTGGCTGGCATCTGGCTGGCCCGCTGCCGCCTCGCCCGGGCTCATCTCCGTGGCCCCGTCCCCCGGCGCTCATTTGAATCCGCTCCATCGATTGAGCAGGTGTTGCGGGCGGCGAATTGGATTTTTCGGATGTTAGTTAGACGGGTTTAGTAGGGGGGGGGGGGAGGATAGACGTCGAGGGTGTTGTCGTAGGTACTTTTCTCTTGGCGCGCGCGGGTGGGAAAAGCCGTAGGTGTTGTATATCAAAGGGTGC